TTGCGCAAAACATCCATCTATAATTCAGGTTAGGGTGGAGCCTATCCTAGCCGTCAGTGAGTAAGAGGCGGGGACTGGTCATCTGTGTATTTGTTTGGTTGGTTGGTCCTCCCACAAAACCAGGATTTGGGCATCCAGCTTATGTCCCTAAAACTTCACCTGATCTTGATTTTAACACCATGAGGTTGCCTGGCAACCACCTATCCACAGGCTAAAATGATCTGTTTTGAGCATTTATATAGCACCTTATAAAAGAATAGTTTCGCTCCATTACAGTAACGTATATTTTATTTTCAAAAACCTTCAGTTACAGCATACATGATAAATTATGATGCAATCAGCCAGCCAACTGCCTAGCTGCAGGCTAGAATGACCTGTTTTTTGCCTTTATGAACCTACACCCCCTCATGCAACCATGTTAAGATCTTAATTTCACAACCAACTGCACAAACAGGCGTAACAAACTGTAGCTTGGGCATGTACTAGTTAACCTGACAAATGCCTTTCGACAGTTCATGTGCAGGGTTAATGCTGTGTAGAGGAACATTTATATCTAAATAACACAATTTTCCATAAATCTAACAAGTACATTTTAGTGCCTAAACCCGAGGCACTGGTGCCGAAGGACGCCTGTAATGAAAACGTGTTGAAATAACAATTTTAACTGAGACCTTGTGGAGAAGTAGTTCCCCGTATGTGGCCTCAAGTGCAAAGCTTAAAGGCTAGAAAGATGTATCCTCTCAAGACTGAGATCTCATCAATGTGTCAGAACTTGTGGAAACTGTGGTAATGGCTCACTAGGGGTGTTTGATGTCAATCTAGGACATCCTTAAACTTTTCTCTCCCAAAAAGAACCTCACACCCCAGAATTTTCAGCATTTTCAGTTGATTTTTTAAATATCAGCACAATCACTCCAGAAAATTTCTGTTCGCTTAACAACATCACATTTTTTCATTTTAGTTTCACTTAATGTTTCTACTGGTTGTTTCACATCCTGCCTACACCTGAGACCAACACACAGTTTGAGTTTTTTTCAGTGATGCACAACGAAATAATCTACAGTTTCAGAAAATAACAACTTAATATTAAGAATGACTATTAACACTCCTGAACTACAGAAGCCAAGGAACTGCTTGCTCTTATTTATAAAAGAGAAACTATTTTGCACATTTCCAAATTCATATTTTTATTCTTGATCTCCAGTAAGGGAGCTTTGCATGATTCACTTTTTTCATTTATTTCATATTTACTATATTTAAAAAGAAGAAAATAAATGACTGTACTTTGCTCCTCTTAAACAGAAACCTCTGAAAACATTTATGTCTTTTTTCCTTTGTACTGGTGGGGTGGTGGGCATGTAAAACGCTCACAATATGCTATTTTTGCGGTGCACTTCATTTTCTGTATCTTTATCATCATGGTTCATGCATAAAATCGGGCTGTTATTAATGTATGATTCATGCACGAGGGTGATTCATCATTCATTCACTATAATAAAGATAACAACGTGCACGCTACTCTTTCCAAGTTTGCTTTTCCTATAGTAAACTGAAGTGAGAAGCACGGGCCTGGAAAACAAAGGTGCACCTATTTTAAGTCTGGGTTAGAATGTTCTCTTCTGTTCTATCAGCAGTAAAGTTTACCACTATTAAACCTGAGACAAGCAGCCTCTATATTCTCATCGCTCTTCATACCTCTGTGGACAAAGATGTACAACAGAGGCACCTTTGTCTGTTCTTAGTAATATAATTAATGATGAAATTTGTTTATCTAAACAGATAACAACGTTTATTTTTTACATCACTGTTGACCAAACTGACAGTTAAATGTTGGGTTGTGCTGTTAAAACATGAGAAATGGTGCTGGTGGAATAATAGCAGTGAGTACATGTTTAGACCTTGAACTGGCGTCACTGTCGCTTGTGGTGGCTGGTCAGACTTCAGGCAAAGTCATCGTAAAAATAAATAAATAAATAAATTATGTAACCTCAGCTTAAGAGGAGTGAGTTATCCTGAGCTGTTTGAAAAGACAATTTATGTGAATTTAATATGTTGCACCAATGTCAAAGAGTGCTGTTTACTTTCTGTTGAATGCACTTTAGTTTAACAACCCCCTGTAGGAAGAGAACAATGATTACATGACGTGATGTGGTTAGAGACACTGGTTTTGTTAATGCTCATTCGCGAACAGTTTCTTATTGATATAGTAGACTTTATGTTCTTGCTCTAAACTAGTGATTGAGCCCATGAAGTCATCAATAAAGTGTTTATTGAGGCCACAGAGACATTAGAGAAGCCAATGTTGCCCCTTGGAATCCATTAAGAAAAATTCAGGCTTAAGGCAATTCTCTGGTTGCATCACTTTTCAGATCTTCTGTACTGTTTATGTTCTTTGGACTTTGCATTGCTAATGAGTTCCTTACATAGAAAAATCATTCATTCATCCATTTTCTGCTGCTTATACGGTTCTGAGTTGCGGGGGCAGCTGTCTGAGCAGAGATGCCCCGACTTCCCCCTCTGCAACCACCACCTCCAGCTCTTCCAGGAGGACAGTCAGGCATTCCCAAACCAGCCGAGAGATGTAATCTCTCCATCGTGTCCCGGGTCTGCCCCGAGGCACAAAACACCTCGCCTGGGAGGTGCCCAAGAGGCATCCTAATCTGATGCCCAAACCATCTCAGCTGGCTCCTTTTGATGTGAAGGAGTAGCAGCTCAACAATGAGTCCCTCCCAAATGGCCGAGATCCTCACTCTGTCTCTAAGGCTTAGCCCAGACACCCTTCAGAGGAAACTCATTTCCACCACTTGCATCCACAGTCTTGTTCTCATTGGCTTGTTTGAAGGTGGCAGACCCTCCACCGCACAGATGGTTCAGACTGGACACAATCACTCCAAATCCTTATAAAAACATCACACAACCATGTAACCTCTTCCGACTTGTGTATCGATTGGGACAAACGGTTAATTTGCGTTGAATAGATTAGTTCAGTGAAGCATTTGTGTGTGGAGGGGGGGTTTCTAGCATGTGGCCTACGTAGCTCTGGGCTATGCACGCCTTCTTTGTTTCCTGACTGTTATTCCTAAAAGCCCACCCTGATATAGAAAGCTAAAACCGTCCTCGGCTTTCATGTGTGACATGAGTCATAAAGACACGTTTTCATTTTATACGGAGATGATTCATGTCACTCTATCAAGATTTTAATTTTCCCTTCAAACAAAACAAAAATTAGCTGATGGGATGAATAATAATCACAAACTGATGGTTTGGTGTTTTTAACTTACACATGAACAGTTTATCCAACTACACACACATAAAACCTTGTTGGCACTTTAAATGTAAAATAAATAAATATATATATATATATTCATTGAAATGTATTAATTCATTCATAAACACAAAGCTAGAACAGGTAATGTACAACTTTTGGAGTGACGATCAACAATTCAGAGAGAATGGTACATTTTTTCCTTAATTATACTGTGGACCTATTCAAATACAGTCTCTTTATGTAATTTAAATATTTATCTATTTATAAATATATAAAAACTTGAGTTGAAATGTCACTCAGCTTTTCCGAAATCACAGCAAAGCAAGTTTGAAAAAAAGTGTTTCTTTGTTGCCAATTTCTTTGTTTGAACTTTTATATTTAATATTGTTGACGACATACCAATCATCTCTTCTGCACCACAACATATGAGTCAATGTGCAAAATCCTCCTCCGTCCAAACAATAACCACAAACATTATAATTATTATTTTTTTAAAGTCCAGACTGTTTTGCGTGGGCTCCTGCAATCTGTAGCGCTCGCTGTGTCACTGGAATATTTAAATATTTGATTGAAGGGATGAGTATTTGTTTGCTATTCGTTTTTCAGTTTCACTTCTAACGTGCACGTTTCTGAAATAAAAGATAAGAAATACTTTATACAGTGTTTGTGACATACATGTATTCTAGAGAGCACTGTTAAAATTAATGTGCTTAAATGTTTTAAGTGTAGAAAAATTTACATTTATTTATAGTTTATCTGTTGTCGATAAAAAAATATTCAAAGCATATTATCCAAACAACTCACTGTGGAGGTTTCCAACTTTGAAGTCATGAATTTATGAATTCATAAAAACTGGGCAACCCTGAGATTAAAGTAAGGAAGTTAAGAGAAAAATATTATTTATTTATTTATTTGATTGATTGTAACTTGTGCATTTATAAGGAAAACAATTCCAAGTGGAACTCTAATGGTTGTCCTTTTTCTGTATTATAAGCATACATAGTTTTGATGGTGGATCCTCATATTAAACAGATCAGACTTTAGACTGTTTTTTCTACTCTTGGCTCTCTATGATGTCAAAGAGAGTCATCACAGACATGGAAGCCCCGCCCACTTTGTGTTTAAACCTTTTGTTTAGCAGGATCAGCCAGTCAGAAGAAAGCTGGCTTAAAGGAGGAGCTAACACAGCTTGTTTTAAACAGATGGTAAATGGCCTGTATTTGTGTAGCGCTTTACTCAGTCCCTATAGACCCCAAAGTGCTTTACACTACATTCAGTCATCCACCCATTCACACACACATTCACACACTGGTGATGCCACAGCTGCTCTGGGGCGCACTGACAGAGGCGAGGTGAACTGAGGGCCTGCACTGAAGCCCAGTGTAAGACAAATAAGGATTACTTTGAACAGTGAATCATGCAAAGCTACACTAGTTCAGAATTTAAGTATGGAGCCAGAAAGGAGCAGAATGTTGCAAATTAATGAGGAAAGTTACAGTTGTTGGCAAAGGAAGTCTCTTCACTTTGCAGTTTTGGATAATCTTCATTGCACCAAAGCTGCACTGCAGTTTGTTTGGCTTTAAATGTATTTTTTTCTTGTTTTTAACTCCTCCCCCAAGCTTCACCTCCACGTCTTTGCTCTATATAATCTCAAATAGCTTTAATAGGTACACAGCTGTGCTGAATAAGATGAGAAAACATTTTGATGTATTTATTTCTTCGTGTCCTGCAGGGCGAGCTGTTGAGCCCCTGCCGATGTGACGGCTCTGTGCGCTGCACCCATCAGCCCTGCCTCATCCGCTGGATCAGCGAGAGAGGCTCCTGGAGCTGCGAGCTCTGCTACTTCAAGTACCAGGTCCTAGCCATCAGCACCAAGAACCCACTGCAGGTAAACACGAGGGGAGTCTGCAGCACAAACACGGTGAAGTCTGGGGAAAAAAACAAAGCCTCACACCCCTTGCTGTTATTATTACTGTTGCACAATTTGATCTAAAAACACTGATAGTGAGTCTGTCCAGATGACTCACAGTGACTGCACAAACAAACCAGCACAGCGTGGCTCTGTCCAACGTGCTTTTTGACTAAGATTCAAAGTATTGGATAAACAGCCACATAAACAAGACGATGATGGCGCGTGAATATGGAAATGATGACAAAATGCTCTCTCCTCTCTGAGGTGCTAGCTCCTAAAACACATGGGCGATGGAGGCAGAAAGATTTAATGACGTGGAAAGAGGAGCTGCTGCTGTCAGCTAACCTTTCATAATAAAATATACAAACGCTGCTGCAGCAGACCCAACACTCTTTTGCCTGAACAAATCTCTCAGCCGTCGCTGTGGTGTGAGGACTGTTTGCCATATTGTGCTGACACATTTTCCCTCTGCGTCACTGTCCGTCTGCCCTCCTTTTCAGAGGCAGCCAATCGCTCTAAAACCTATTGAAAAGATGCCATGTGTGTGTTGGTGTGTGTGTTAACTTGTCAAATGTGAGGATTTTTCTCTCTCTGGTGAGATGTAATGTAGAAGATTGGTGCAGTGTGACTAAGTATGCACAACTTGCAGGTACTCTTGCATGTCCACGCTGTGCCGCTTTATTCTGACACTCCGATGTTAGGAATGTTGCACTTTCAGCTTCACAAGACTTAATAGACTTAAACTGCTTTGTAAACAGATTACAGGGGGAAATCGTGTGATAACGCTAAGGCTCTGTGTGTTTTTGTTTTGGTCCCTCTGCTCGTTCTTTTCATGTTCGTGCTTTCTTGGTTTCCCCAGTGTTTCCTTGTTTTTGTCTTCCTCTGATCTTCTTCCCTTGTCTTTATTGTTTCTGCTTCCTGTTTTGTTATGTTTTGGTAATTGCTTTTCCTCGGGTGTCTCCTGTGCATTTACTTCCTGTGTCTGTGGCTTTTCTCCTTTGTGATGGTCTGCCCTGTCTTTATTGTTTCCACTTGTGTCTTGTCGTGTGTGTGTGTGGTCCTGGTTTCCCTTCTCTTCCTGTTGAGTTGTCCTTTCTTTGTTTCTTTGCATCTCAGTTGAGTTTAGTCTTCTGGGTTCTTTCTTCTTCTTCTTCCTCTTTTATTATTTTATTTCCTTTTTGTGACCTAATACTTGGTGTCCTCCATTTAGGTCTTATATCCAGCAACCCATTTAACAGATAAGCTTTAAAGCTATAATTTCTTCGCTTTTGAGCCCTTATAACAGCAGTAAGTACTTCTGCAGGAGCCATGGGACATATAATTTCAAAAAGGAGGCAAACTATTAATTTATTAAAAGTGTATAGCCACAGAAGGAATATAAACACACCAGTTAAGACTCTAAATTAGTGTGAGGGTGATCTTTATTAAATTTATTAACCTCTGCTATCTATTGAATCTGTTAATCATATAACCCGTGAATTTAGAGTGCACACGAAGAAAAGGACCTAAACGCAGGACACAGGAGGCAACATTAAAATCGTTAAACTCTTTAATAACTTAGCAGCGGTCGCAAAAAAGGGCAAATAAGACTTGGAAAGGAAAAGCAAAGGTCGATAAAATGAGCAAAAAAGTCATAGGTGAAGACGAACACGATGAACCACAGAAACAGAAAAAGGAGAATTCTGGATTGTAGAAAAAGCCGAACTTGTGAAAAAATGACAACAAACACGTGAAGTAAAACTTAGAGGGAGTGAAGACAAAAATAAATGCTTATAAATTCATAGATGACGAACTTAAACGAGTCCTTATAGTTTTTATTCATTTATTTATTTCGTTTTACATCTAATTAAAACCTGTTGACTTAGTTTTTCCTTATTCCTGTATAAATATATATAAACTGTTACTGTGGTGAATATTAGTTTTTCAGATAATGGGGTCTGTTGGCATATTTCCACAGTTCTGCTGCGAGCACACACATGACACCCATCTAATGTTCAAACCTTTTGTTTGTGAGGGGCAGCCAATCACAGGCAGGTTTGCTTAAAGGGAAAGGAAGGGAACAAATCGTATTCTGTTTCGGACAGAATGTGATTTAGGGGGATTAACAGGGATTATTTTGATCTTTGAATCATGTAAATCTATTCTATTAGAGTCAGAGATATAAATTCAGTTCAATTCACTTTTATTTATATAGCACCAAATCAAAACAAGAGTTGCCTCAAGGAACTTTATATCGTAACGTAAAGACTCTACAATAATACAAAGAAAACCCCAACAGACCTGCTTTAGCGACAGTGGGAAGGAAAAACTCTGTTTTAACAGGAAGAAACCTCCTGCAGAACCAGGCTCAGGGAGGAGCGGCCATCTAACTTCAGTTAGTCTCTGTATTGGGTTTAGCTTTGGCTAGTTTTAGTTTACTTTCTGTGTGGGTTTTAATTTGTGGTTTTTTATGTTTTCACATCATTTTTGTTCACACCTAGGTTTGACATTTAGTTAATCATATAGTTATAAAAGCCATAGCCTTTATTCTGAGTGCAGGAGTATGTTTACACTGTTCCTCCGGTACTTTTGTTCCTGTAAATGACCTGATTTTTCCCCCACCACTGATTTAAAGTGTTTTCTCCTCCAGTGGCAGGCCATCTCTCTGACCGTCATTGAGAAGGTGCAGATAGCAGCCATTATTCTGGGTTCCCTGTTCCTCATCGCCAGTATTTCCTGGCTCATCTGGTCCTCCCTCAGCCCCTCAGCCAAGTGGCAACGTCAGGACCTACTCTTCCAAATCTGCTACGGCATGTACGGCTTCATGGATATCGTCTGCATAGGTAAAAAGACAAAGAGACACAAGACTGACACACAAACATAAGATGCTTTCATAAGTGAACGTTTGGGACGTGAGATAGTTGCTCTGTCATGTAGCACACAGCAGGAAATAGCTTCAGATGTGTTTGCACTACTGGAAATTATTTAGGTGAAGAAGCTGCAGGAGGCTGCACGCATGACACCAAAGAAATCGGGTCATTACTCAAAAAAGTCATGCATTACACATATTCTTTACTTTTTTAAATGCAATGCATTATTTTACTCGTTATATCAATTTTTGTTACTTCACAGCAGCTGTGTGATTGCCAGAAAAGAATAAAACACCAACATTTTAATCTGCACACATAACTGCTTGAATCCCTCTTAAAAAGGACATTGTCAAGATTAGAGCATGGGAGGACCCAAATGATGACTTAGGAAGCAAAAAGTAAAAAAAAAAACAAAAAATAAAAATACAACACAAACTAAGAAGGTCGATGCATGAGATAGGAAGCACAGGTGCAGGGAAAGATGGACCTGAGAGGTAAACGGATGATCTCACAAAGAAGAAAGACTACATATACTTACACAAAGAGCTGATAGTAGAACAAAACACAGACTGGAACAATTAAGGGGCAGAGAAACAAGGAAGAGGAAAGAAAGAAAACCTACAACAGGAAGTAACCAAAATAAAATGACTAACACTGATCGGTGAACCCAGAATGCAGGATGACATGGAGAAACGCAAAAGTAACATAAGAAAAACAACGAACATTACAACGACCATGACAAACATATAGGAAGTCTTTCTGAGGTTTTCAAACACTCGTTCATGGCTAGCTTTGCGCCAGCATCATAGACTGTGTATAAAAGATGGCAGCATCTTGCTTATCCAAGTGCTTGTAGAGGTTTGATTTGTTCTCAGCAGATTCGGGACATCTTGGCAGTCTGATCACAGCTGATCTCAGTATCGACAGATGAGCCAGGAGATGAGGACTCTGTGTGACCACAAAGGTCACAGCGAGTGGGTGTGCACTGTTAAGTTTAGTTAGGTGAGAAAAAGGGGAATTCGAGCCATAAAGAAAATTGCTACAGGCTAAATGGGCAGCGAAGCAACAAATTGAAAAGAGGGTGTCCACTGACCCCGAGACCCTCTGCGATCCAGGCCCTTCAGGGATTTAGAAAAACTCCTTCTGGACATAAAGCTGTGTGATCTGTCTAAACTATTATATAGAACATGTGAACATTTGTGTCATTTCAGTGTTCGGTGAATGTGGTTAAATTTTAAAATAAATAGACTTTTGACATGCTCTAATTTTGCCAGCCACCTATCCAACATGTCATGTCTTTATCACAGAGATTAAATTTATTGAAATTATGGTAAATTCATGATACCGATGCTCAAATAATGCTAAACAAAATTAATATTTAAGGTAGTCTTAGATTTAGATCGTGACACTTGGAGTGGATGTAACATTTATTTCGTTGTACACTGTAAAAAAAAGTAATATAAAAGTATTTTACTGTGTATTTTACAGTTTTGTACTGTTTTTCTAGAATATCATTAAAGTTACATAAATAAACTGTGATTTTACATTTCAAATGTAAATTAACGTAAAATCACTGTAAATGTAATAAAACATAATTTTCTCATTTTTTAAATATATCTGTCTGTACATATGCATATTTAGATTGTTAACATACTTTCACAAATGTATCATAATTTCACAAATATTTGTCCGTTATTTGAAAGATTGAACTGTTAAATTCAAATGTAATGTTATGGAAAAATATATAAAATGATTCTTATAAACTTTTTTTACATCACATAATTATTGTTATTGTTATTTAGGACGATCGTGGCTCAAGAGTTGGCAGTTCGCCTTGTAATCAGAAGGTTGCCGGTTCGAGCCCCGGCTTGGACACTTCACCTACTGGTGATGGCCAGAGTGGAATTGTAAAGCGCTTTGAGGGTCCCAAAAAGTGCGATATGAATGCAACCCGTTATTATTTAAACCAATGTTAACCGTATATTTCTGTACATTTAAGTATTATTATTCATATTGCCGCATTCATTGACCTTGTTTATAGGTAATTTCATTGTTTAATCACGTTACAATGTTTCTAATTTAATGTTCAAAAGCACTTGAAAAAGGCAAAATCCCATGTAAAAGTAGGGCAACAAACTGAAAGTTATTTTCTGTTATTTTCTGGTATTATTTTGGCGCCCCAGCTGCCGGAAAATTACTGTTTTTTTAGGATTTTTTTTTTACGGTGTAGTTTTTAATCCTCAAAGCGGCATTTAATTTCCTTTATCAGAGTTTGTCAGAAGGTTCAATAAACACTCCAGTTTCAAAAGAATTAGAATTTTATGCCAATTATTAAATGGTTCCGGCTTTTCCGGAGCATATTCAGTTTGTCCAACTAAGATAAATATATAATATTAAGAGTGTAAGGTCAGATTTAGTGGCTTTCTGATGCACTCTGTCATTATAGTCCATTATTGGTAAGTTGATAAAGGTTACAAACCGGCTAATGTCCAATTCTCACACCCTACCTCCATCTGGTAAGTCCTAGAAAAGTTCAAGGTTGGGAATTGACTCCGTTTTTGTAGCCAGCCTCAGTGCAGGTGTGAAAATGTCACACAGGAGTCGTCGACTGCAGGAGCTGAAAACATGAAAAGATGTAGATCGAAGGCTTAGGCTGCATTATGCAACATCAAGACGAGCAAAGAAAAACAGGATGCACGGTGCAATGACAAAAATATTAATAAACATAAGTTGGATTATGCAAGGACAAACTAGCGCGGGGATGAAAGCTTGTATTCAGCTCACATTTCTCTGGCTTTTAAGTTCATGCACAATTACAACACTAAGCAGGCAGATGGTGCATAGGTAGGAGATAACAACTACACTAAAAGCCAAACAAATTTTTGATGATGTTGCAGACTACAAGAGACTGTTTTTGGGGGGGTTTGGAGCGACTGGCTTGATTGTTCTTGTGTAACTGCGAGCTGCCCGCCTAAGACAACAGTGAGAACAGATGGCATCAGATATCTGTACTGTGATTACTGCCAACTGTCTATTCTCAACCACAGATGAGATGGAAAGTTTCTACCTGTGGTGCCGATGCAGCTCCAGGCTGCCTTTCATGAAATGTCTCCTGCCTCCATGCACTGTCCTTCACCTTCTGCTTTCTTCCCCACCCAGGCCTAATCATCCACGAGGGATCGTCGGTGTATCGAATCTTCAAGCGATGGCAGGCTGTCAATCAGCAGTGGAAAGTACTGAACTATGAGAAATCGAAGGACTTGGGCGACCCGGTGAGTTCGAGCAGTAAGAC